CTCACCCCATTAAGAAAACAGAGGGACATTACTAGCTATCTGTTGATTCTGCCTTTGTCCCGTGTGCCACAGCTGGAGGAAGCTAGCATGTGGTCTGCTAGCTAATACTGAGAGGTATCTGTGAGGGACATGGGGAATGCCTACTTAGCAGAGAGTGGGGAGGGGAGAGGGGAGCCTGCAGAGACTGCCAAAGCTGCAGCCAGGGAGCAGAAGGGAGGAGGCCAGCTTTGCTGTGGAGCAGAGAGCACTGCCCAGCCCAGAGAGCTTGCCAGGATGCTGGGGGAGTCTGATTTAACTTAAACCAGGAAGCGGTCTGGGACAAACATTGCATAAACCGGTTTGAGCCAAATCAGTTGAGTCTAATACAGGTCTACATTCAGCCAGGTTCATCTGAAACCAGTTTCAGCCATTCTCAAACTGGTTTGTGTGCACTAAATATCTGTTCTGTTACAGGTTTAAACCGGTTTCTGATTACTTAAACCAGTTTATGTGTAATGTCTGTCCCTAGCCTAACTGCCAACCCTTATTTACCATCCCATAGTGCTCCTATGCAACTACAGCAATTTCTTACGTGGAAAAGTAAAGTAAAGAACCACTAAGTATATTTTTGTCTGTATTATTTGGCAGCTTAATAGTAAGGAAGAGTTTATTTCATTTATCTAGACAATTCTCCTTGGACCACATTTTTGTGAAACTTTGTTCTTCCCTATGCTGATTAATACTAGTCTATAATAAATACTCCAGGATTATGCATTTGTCTAAAATATGTACTTGGCATAAGTTATAAATATGAATTCACTCCATTATATTTTAATATAATAGAACTACTTTAGGTAGATAATTAGAGTGAAATGCATGGTTCAGCCTTGGCTGATTTTGAAAAAATGTTCTCAGTGAATGTCCCGTTATGCAGCGCAGTATCCTAAAACAAATGATGTTTTTCTGTTTTGTATGAATGCTGGATCTAGTGCCTGAATGCTTTTAAAGTGAAATGGTCTGGGTTTTTTTTAAATACCATTTAATTGAAATGAAATGAATGGAGTAGGGCTTTTCTTCCAGCAGTTGAATCTCTCTGATGGTGTTAATTATATTGGAATTTTTGGTTCTGGCAAATAAAAATGGGGGAGGAAAAATATGCAATGAAGAGAGAGATCAGTTTGCAAAACAACTGACCTCATCACTGATCTCGCTTGCCCTCCACTGCACACTTCTTGTTCCTAATTTACCTATGTTAGATATGGCTTTGTAGTGCCCCTTGTAGAAAAAAGTGTTTGAATGAATATGCAGGGGACACTTCATTGATGTTACTGGGAACAGGCAAAGCTTCTTAATTCTGTAGCTTTCCAGCTTCTCAGTCAGGATCTCCAAATGGCAGCCACTTCTAAGACTTCTGATTGCCTTGCCTGATAATCCCGTAATGTACTTCTTCAGAGCCTTTAAGAGACAGATTCCTGCTGCA